TTTGTGTGTGAGAGAGAGAGTGAGTGTGTGTGTGTGTGTGTGTGTGTGTGAGGACCAGTATGAATTATGGCCTGTACGGCCCCTCATCATTTACAGACAGTGTTATTTCACATCACAGATGTTACAGTCTGTTTGTGTGAGGTGGTCTTCAGGGGGCCCTGTTGGTTATACAGTCGATCATGATGTAAAAATGATAGGGTACAAGCCCCCTGTGAATAATGGCTCTGACCTCCACGCAGCCTCTTAGCCAAGCCATTTCCCTCAGGAGTCAGTGCAGCCAATCTAGTCATCACTCTTCTCATTTGTCTGTTCATTGTCAGCCTTTTGCTAAATTAAGTATCCAGTATAGTTTATGAGTCATTGCTGCTGTCTTTTAAACATGTGAAATGGATGATAAACACAGGTGAACTTGAGTATTTAAATGAATGTGCTTGTTATAAGGGGAACTGGCTATTCAATTATCATACCCTGCTTATTATCAGTGTCCCTTTTGTCTGTAGTCGAATAAAGTTGTCGTCGTTTTTTGTTTTTTGTAAGGCCTGCCATCGGCCATCACACAGAGAAAGATGGAGGAGCTGAAGTCCAAGCTGGAGGCTGCAGACACCAGAGCAGCGGAAGCAGAGCGGGCTGTAACGCTTGCAGAAGGTCACGCTGGGGAAAAAGACAAAGCACTCATTGAGGCCTCAAACCGATTGAGGCAGTACGAGTCTGTAAGTCTTCAAAAAGAAACAATCTTTCCTGTTTTTTTTTTAACTTAACCTTTTTAAAAACCAAATCGAATTAATCAAAACTCAAATTCCGAGAAGTGAAGGTTCTTTATTTGGACATTGAAATGACTTTGTGACTATGGTGTGATCAACATGCTTTCTGGGTCTACAAGCTAAGTGTTTGTTTCCCACCGCGTCTAATCACGTCATAATTGCCACAAATAAAGCGGACAGGAAAGAAAACTTCCACAACACGCTTTGTGATGGAAGAGTATTCATCACAGCTCTGTTTTTGTCTTACAGGGTATTTACGGACTGGAAGCAGCCATTGTAGAGATCAAAGAGTGCAAAAATCAAATTAGAGTGAGAGATCTTGAGGCAGAGGCCATGACCAAAGAGATCAACCAGCTTGAGATGAGAATCAATGACCTCATGGACGAAAACGAGGATTTCCGAGAAAAACTGGGTCAGTTCTTCAAAAAAAACTATCTTTTCCCATCTCTTCGTCTACTAAGAAACGGACCAACATGGATCATTTGTTTCTTTCATGCTTTTTCTTAACTCCCAAGGTCTGGAGCCAAAACAGGAAGTAGATCTGACTGTGTTCAGGCGAGCCAAAGATCTAAGGCAGCGACAGTACAAAGCAGAAAATCAAGTCCTCACCAAAGAGGTACAGAGAGGATTACAAATGTTACAATAACTGCTTTCTTACCACAATGTTCTCTGTTCAGCTCATTCATTCATTTCATTCTAGATCGAACGGCTGGAAGAAGAAAGACTTGAGCTGAAGAAAGAAATACGGCGCATTGTGAAGGAAAGAGGTGATGCAGAAATCGTGGAATTTTTGTAGCAACATCATTATCCATCAATCAATTTATCTGTCACATTTATTCAAACAAGGTCAGGGTGTCCGCGGGGTCTTAAAAAGTATTAAAAGTTGATAAATCAATTTAGCCAAAATGAAGGCTATTAAAAAGTATTAAACGGCATTTTCCGAGGTGTTACATTTTGTAGCTTGTTTCCAATAAGTATATAAATTGTCCAAAGAGGTTGTATTCTACAGTCTGCCTGAATGTAATCATTGCGTAGGTGTGTAGTGTGATTCTGTGTAGTTTATTTATGGCATCCCGTTGGGTTTGACGTCATCTGAACAGGACATCGCACGCTCACTGCTTGATAGCGCGCGAGGGCCCGTTTACGCCGGTTGTTAAACAACATCGTTATGGGGAAATGCAAGTCTGCGTCCAAATGGTTGGAAGATAAGGAGGAAGGACAATCAATACTGTATATAGTCAATGTGAGGTAAAGTGTGTCGCCAAGGTAACCGGTTAGAACTCCAAGTGGCGATGAGGTCAAAACGTATGGAAAGGGTCTTAAAAAAGGGCTTGAAAGGAATTACATTAGACTTCAGGATTCCTGAAAGTACAGTTCCAGTATAATGGTGATCAGGGAGAAATCCGTCAGTATTCAAGGGGGTACCCAGAATTTCCTAAAGCATGTTTTCTGTTATCACGACCGCAGTCATGTGGTCAGAAA